AATGGGTGTTTTCATTCTGTCTACCTAAATGTACTTAAAGGTTTTTAGTCTTAGTCTTTTATCTGAAGTGCATAAATCAGATAGTATAAAGTAAATATGCACCATGCTTTCTTAGTGACACACACACACACACACACACACACACACACCCCGGGGAGTGGGGGGGGGCACGGAGGAGTGCAAGAGACCTGAGGTTCCTGTTTGTTTTCTTTGCAGCAGTGGCCTCTTGTAGTCAGACTCACAGAGAAGCTGGGGTAGACCTTGAACTCCTGAATGCTAGGGGGAAAAATAGGGTGTTTTGCTGAGTTTTTCTTTTCCTTTTAGGACCTCGCCTGGATTTGGATCCTGACATTGTTGCCGCTCTTGATGATGATTTTGACTTTGATGATCCAGATAACCTCCTTGAAGATGACTTTATTCTTCAGGCAAATAAGCTGACAGGAGAAGAAGTGGATCTGCCGTATGTGTGCTGCTTTTGTAGTGGGAGGGTAACAGTGGTCTAGTTTTGAGAACGTGATCTAAGATGTCTGTATTAGAGCGGTAAGTAGTTAAATTTGAAACATACTATCAGTAAGTGGAGCTAAAACCCAGATTCCTGATGACTGGTTGCTTTTCCTACTATACCAAATTAGCCTAATACCATCTCAAGTACTGCTTCCTCTGAGCCTTTCAGAAGGAGCTTCTGGGTTTGTATGAAGTTGCTGTGCTTTGATGCTTTTCCAGTTGTTTGGACGGGTGATTTATGGCCTCTTGGCTGTAGGGAATCCGGGAGTGCAGATGACCATGAATGGGAAGACATGGACGATGAGGAAGGGAGCGGGGATGACTGTAGCTCTGCAGGCCTACCATCAGATGGAGGAGACAGATCTGCCCCCGGGTCACCTCGAGAAGCCTTCAGAAACCACCTGTTTTGGGAAGAGGAAACCAAAAGCCGTTTCACGGAGTATTCTATGACCTCCTCAGTCATGAGGAGAAATGAGCAGCTGACCCTGCATGACGAGAGGTTTGAGAAGGTGCGGGCCTGGAAAATGTCACTGAGTTTTGTCTTCCCTGCAAAAACAGAGATTGGAACCAGAGTAAACCTTTCAGGATTAGAAACCACCTGTTGCATTAAGATTGAGCGGAGCTACACCCTGGTCGGGATTCTGGAAAGAGCTGTGTAGGTCCCAAGGGTTGACTGATAGAACAGCTGACATCTCATTCTGAGATTTGAAATTCTGATTTTGCATCTCACCATAATCTGCAAACTTTTGCTGTTTTGCTAAGAGTTGGCTGGCTTAGCATCAACAAAATTCGATTATTTTAGTTCTTTAGATATAACTAACACTAAAACCAAAAAAGTAGAGTGAGGCGTACTTTAAAACATGACGTATACCAGATTTGACTCCTGGGACAGGCCAACTCCTGATTTCCAGTACTGTGGACCACCTATGCAGAGTCCCTTCACCCATTCTGTCCTATGCTCTTGCCCTTCTGACGCCATTTCTAATGTGTTCATCCATGTATATTATCCACAAGTTTGTATCAGGTTAAGATAGGATTTCTCCATGGGCAAAGAGTCTCAAATGTACATCCAAGCCCTAAAGTAGTAGTGTCTGGTATGTAGTAGGACTTGAAGGTTTTTACTTAGTAGTCAGCAAGTGAAGGAATGCTTTCAGTGCATGGAATATACAGGCTTGCTACAATACCACAGAAGTGCTTCCCTCTTACCTGTCAAGAGTAGTCCACTGTTAAGTGCCAACATCTTTGCTCATCAGATAAAGCGTAGCAGTGCTCACAGCATCTGAGCGAGAATAGAGTTTACACAGTAGATTCCCTCACAGCGTCTGCATCACTGAGAGGTGCAATTTTTGCTGAAATGTTCTGAAACAAAGATCTATGCATAGCATTTTCTTTTCCAATCTGAGTAAAATAACTCCTTTTATTATTTTATTTTCCTCTCTGTTGACACAGTAATGATAGTTGTGAGCTTTTAGTAGTGCTGAAATACTATGTAGGAGTAAGGTTAATATAAATAAAATAATTCATGATAGGTTTTTCATGGCATCTTTTTTGTTGTTTGTATTCAAGTTTTATGAACAATATGATGATATTGAAATTGGAGCTCTGGATAACGCAGAACTGGAAGGTTCCATTCAAGTGGACAGCAATCGGCTGCAGGAAGTTCTGAATGACTACTTTAAGGAGAAGGCAGAGAAGTATGGCAGTTCTCCTTTAGCTACGTTGTTTTTACCTTCAGATGACTGATGCGGGGAGTCAAAGTCTATCACTAGTTGACTTGATGGTGGTGCAATAGCTGAGGTTAGGCGGGAAATAAAGTACAAAGAAACATTGGAGTTGGGAAGTAAAAGGTGTTTCTGGCCTCAGGCTGAAGAATCTTTATAACTTAGAAGTGCCTGGTTTCTTGTCTTTGAAATGGTGGGTGTTCCAAAAAGTGAGTAGTTATGGCTAATAGATAAGCTTGACTTGGGCTGATTAGCAGAGCTCACAAGAAAAGTATTTGCTCAGTCAGCATCTGTATCAAAGTGCCTCTTATCTGAGAGAAGCTGATGATGTATTAAAATCTGCTCACAGGTCTTGTTTCATGAAACACTGCAGCATGCAGTTCCCACAGCATGAAAGGGGCCATAGACTTTAAGTGAATTCTGTGCATACTTTGGAGAGATAGATGAGCAGCTGGTGCTCATCTTAGGGAATCTGCCATCTTGTGTAATGTAGAACCGTCTGCAGATGCAGCTAGATTTGATGTGCCTATCAGCAGAGCGAATGTGCAAACCACTGGACGGATAGAGCGGGAATGTTCCAGGAGCTTGGCATGCACAGGAATAGGATTTCAAATGGCTCTTGTCTCTAGAGCTCTTTTAGTGACATGCAATTTAATGTTTTCTTTATCCTGTTTTCATTTTATAAAATGCACCAAAAAAAGTTGTGTAAAATTGAATACTCTTGAGCCTTTTGAGGATCAAGATCTGCCAACAAATGAGCTCGACGAGTCTGAAAACGAAGAGATGATCACCGTAGTTGTTCGGGAAGAGAAGGAGAAGTGGGATTGCGAGTCCATTTGCAGTAAGTACCTTATTCCCCGTCGGCTGCCAGAGGTATGAAAACCATTCAGTGTGAGTGTGGGAGAGCAGATAGAATTTAGTAGAAGTTAATCTTTTAGGGAATTTGTGAAAATGCTTTAAAAACAATATGACTGTTCTGCTATTGAGTTGTAAATAATTTCAAAATGGTTTTCAGAGAGGCTCTAGTGTGATTTTGCACTATAAAAACACCAAGACTGGGAACGTAGTGTGAACTGGGTGGTGCTTTTGTTGAACTTAAATGTGCTTAGGTGTCACCTGATTTTTTTCCAGGTACATACTCCAATTTGTACAATCATCCACAGCTCATCAAATATGAACCAAAGGTGAGGCTGACATTGTTAGCATACCATTTTCAGGGCTGGAATGGTAGCACAGCAGTTGAGATCACTACCTGCTCCTTCAGAGGACCCAGCTTGGTTCATAGCACACACATCAAGTGGGAATCCAGCTCCAAAGGATCTGATGCCTCTTCTGGGCCCTGGAGGCCGCCATAATATGGGCCACACTCATACACATACACACTTGCAAGTACGAGTTGGTCTTCAGTGCCCTTTCTTTCTGGCTGGCATGACTGGTAGGAAGCACCGACAGTGCACCACTAGTGAGCGCTTGTGAGTAGGATGGGAGATAACTCTAGTGCTGCTCTCTCTCCCCTCAGCCCAAACAGATCCACCTGTCCGCGAAAACGGGCATTCCTCTCAATGTCTTACCTAAGAAGGGGCTCACGGCGAAGCAACTGGAACGAATGCAGATGATCAATAGCAGTGACCTCCCCAAGGTGTCAACCCAGCCTCGGCCCAAAAATGAAAGCAAAGAAGATAAAAGAGCCAGAAAGCAGGCCATAAAAGAGGAACGGAAGGTAACTGCGCCCTCTGATGTGGGGCTTGCAGAGAGCTGCGGGGGGAGGGGGGTGGCAGGGTCCGTCTGTACAAATGTAACCCGGGATCCTCTTGTATAGGAACGAAGAACTGAAAAGAAAGCTAACAAACTAGCATTCAAACTGGAGAAAAGAAGGCAAGAGAAGGAGCTGCTGAACTTGAAGAACATTGAGGGTCTGAAGCTATAGGTGGGGAACATTCAGTATGAGTTGTATTCCTGTCAGTGGTCTCCACTGTGCTCAGTAATTAAGGATCTTAAGGGAGGTAAAAATGACTGAGAAAAGTAGAGCATTTGTATTTTTCTACAAATGAGGGTCTCTTGTCAGCTATCTTGTAAATATAATGTTTTGAATTTACTATTATAAGCTTATATTCCCTCTGAGATAAATGACTTCATGGAAGTAAAATGTTTGGATAAATTAAAGGAAAATGTCTTTATAACATGCACGGACTTGGTGTGTTCATTTATTTGTATGGTTGTCAAAGTTGTCCTTTGCAGATGTTCTCAAATATTTCTTTGAAACCTCTCCACGCCTTCTCGGGAATTACATGGTTTAATTTGCCGTCTGTAGAGGAGTGGTCTGGTTAAGCTCAATTTTGAAATGCTAAGTTTATTCTCAGTGGTGAGAAGACTGTTCCTGAGAAGATTCCACGGGTAGGAGCTGATTTTCCCGTGTCCATAAAACGACCCTTCCAAAAGGACTGTGACGATGAGCGCCGCAGTTGTGGTTGGGATTTCCTGCCCTGGAAGCAGATGGCTCTTTCCCTCTGGATTTAGGGCCAGCGTAGCGGCAGCGATCAGAAATACTTACGTCACTGTAACCTGAAAAGTTTGTCTTCCCAACATTGTTTAATGTTTGAAAATATCCACAACTTATTAAAATCCATACTCAGAAGTTTCCAGGGTTTGATGAGTTGTTCTTGTTTTGACATCTAGAGACTGATTCAAGGCTTAGGCAATGACTCCATCATAATGTTCATTATTTGGTAAACTGTGACTTCTCACTGACCTTTGCCCATTTGCCCCTGACCGGTGTGGACACTTGGTCAGAGTAGAGGACAAAATGGCTGAGGCACAGCCAGCTGTGGCGGGTGAGCTGCACTTGATGGCTAGATGGTTTAGAAGTCTCATCACTTGCTAGTTAATTAAGTCTTTTCCGAAGCTGATAGCTATCACCTTATTCTAAGTTTTATTAATTAAAATCTTAATTATTGTATTTCTCTTAGAGTTGTGAAAAAACTTTACAATTCTATTCTGTTAACACCTAACCAACAGTAAAAATAAAAGAGTGCACAATTTGTCATTGAGGAAGTATAGCAAAAGCAGAAGTAGTTGATGTTTTCTATAAATACTGGGAATAAAAATCCTAAGTGGATGGGCCTTTTCTCCAAAGAAGAGTCTCCAAACCTTGAAGAGTCTTGGGCACAGGATGTCACTGAGCCCTGCTAGTCCTGTTCAGATTAATCTCTTGTAAATAAGGGAATGCAACTCAGCTGTAAGTCTTCAGAAGCTGGTTGCTGTGGGGCTGATTAATTTAGCTTAAAGAGTGTAATTCTGTTCTGGAGAAGACTTTTGTGGCAACTTGAATGAATTGCTAGAACTTGTTAGCAAGTTTCCCCTGCACACACCAGACCTAAAAGCCAACCCCCTCTCCACACACACACACACACACACACACACACAAACACATGCCGAAATACTCGGTTTCTAGTCTTCTGTAAACAGTGAAAAATGAACCTATCAGCTCAGTGCTGAACGACAGCAGTTGAGAGATAAGGGGGATTTTGCCTTCAAGAACTACTTGGTTGGAGACAGTTCAGAAGCACAGATAAGTGCCGATGCCATCACTGTGACAAGCACCACTTGTTCCGAGGAGCTGGGTACCCACTGTTCCCCTGAAGTCTTCAGATAAGCCTGCAAGGTTGCTCAGTTGTCACCACCTCTGGTTTTCATTGAGGAGCACACCCTCCTCCCGGCACTTCCTCTTCCCTGCCTTGTGCTCTCTGTGGGACTGACGGACAAGGCATCTCTCAGGATCCTTTCTGACTAGAGAAAAGTTGGAGGGCAGAACATTGTGCTGACCACTTTACCTGCTGACCAAGCTAGTGCCTGGAATTTGATGAATAGTGTTCGGTGGCATAGGTATGGATGGGTTCAGGGTAAGACACTTTGTAAAAGAATGACTTAAATTCTGGGCAGTACAGTGATAGGTTCGTTCACAAGGGTCAGCAAGGACAAACAAACCCAAGTAGGCAGGGAGAATTTTTTTATTATTTTTTTATTATTGTATGTGTAGATGCGCCTGCCACAATGCACATGGCAGTCAAAGGACGGTTTTGTTTTTTTTTTTTATGTGGGTTCTGGAATTGAACTCAGGTCACTGACCCTGCCTACTGAGTTTTAGTCTTGTTTGAGTAGTGTCCCGAATTGGTTTCAAAACTTTCTTGTTAGGTACTTTTGTAGTATTATAAGCCTGTGTGTCTTTACTTCTGCGGCCATTTGTGCATGCTGTCTTGATGCACTATAGAGAGATGTAACATCTACAGCCTGCATTGTGACATCATCACATCACCTCGATGGAGAGCAGCCCTGACCCCTGACCATGTTTTTACGTGTTGACAATGGCCTGCTTTAACATGCCTGTTTGATCTAGTTAGAGGGCGGAAAATAGAGTCCAGTGCTTTGTAAGTTAATTGTGAGTTAGTAAGTTAGGTAAAATATATAATATGCAAACACATACCTGTTGTGCAAATAAGAAATAGAACACAGAGCCAGGCAGTGGTGGCACATGCCAGTAATCCCAGCATTTGGGAGGCAGAGGCAGGTGGATCTCAGTGAGTTCAAGGCCACCCTGGTCTACAAAGCAAGTTCCAGGACAGCCTGGTTGTCCCCTTATTCGTTTACCAACTACCCAGTCGGTTACACTAAATATTACCCCTTTTTCTTTAAACCACTTTTATGATGCCCCTTAACACAGCTTCCTTATTTTTAAACCAACTAGAAGCACAAGCCTACCTCTGAAGGGAACATTTGCAACTCTTAGTTGGTGTCATAGAGGTGACCTAAAGCGCCCCTAGATCCAACGTCAGCTTCTAGAGTGTGTGCACCTGTGTGCTGAGGGAATCCTAGACGTCTCCTAGCATATGAGGAGTCATGCTCACAAGCTGCGTGATTGGCTAGTGTTTCTGTGTCTGAGCTCCGCAGGACCTACCTCCGGTGCCAAGCAACAGTCCTAGCCGGAAGTGCTTCTGATCTTCAGAATAGCAATGCACGTTTGGAAGGGAAAAAAGGAAAATGCAGGAGATTGAAGAATGCTTACCGCTCTTATTCTTCCACTCAAGTGTAGTTACTGCGTGGCTTTGTGGTTTTGTTTTGTGTGTGTGTGTGTTTCCTTTTTTTCTCACTATTTTTTTTTTTACAAGACAGCATTTCTCTGTGTAGCCTGGCTATCACTAGACTAGGCTGGCCTGAACCTCACAGAGATCTGCCTGCTTCTGCCTCCAGAGTACTGGGATTCTTTTTGGCAACATGCAATTCACAAATCCTTTTAGTTGATTGGTTGATTTCAGGGGGTTTTGGATTTGTTTGTTTGTGTGTTTTGTTTTGTTTGTCTAGATACGGTTTCCCTGTGTAGTCCTGGCTGCCCTGGAATTCTAGCTGTAGAATTCTACCTATCTATATGTAGGCTTCAAACTCCCGCCTCTGCCTCCCAAGTGCTGGGATTAAAGGCATGTGCTGGAGCTAAATGTATGGGTCGCAACACCCAACTGTTGGTATTTTGGGTTTTTTTTTATTTGATTTTTTTAGACTCTTTCTGTAGTCCAGGTTTGAGTTGGACTCAAGGCGGTCCTCTTATCTCCTAAGTGCCAGTCACCATTACAAACACATTTTAACTGGTATGTTCTCGTTCATCAGTCAACAACCTGTATTGATGAAGGGCCACATAGTATGCTTGTTTGCTTTCCAGGTCAGGTGTCCTCTCACAGCTGCAGATAGTGTGAATGTGGTAATAGATGCATGTGGGGACGCTCCCACAAAACTGCATTTTCAACACCATGCAGTCTTAGGTGTGTTCACAGGCCACAGTTTGCTCACTCCTATTCAAATGTTTCCTCTTGACAAAATATACATAGTTTTGGGGAAAGTGGCAACATAGGAAAGGGATCACTTGCACCCTTAGCCCAGCTTTCCCCCAAGCTTCTTGTAGAGCAGCTGCACTACAGCATCGGAACCAGTAAATGTCATCAGCATACTGTGTGTCCTTAGCTCTGTACTGTCTGACATGTAGCCACCACCATCGGTTGGTGAACATCCAAACCTCTCCCATCACACAAAGGGAGGTTGTTCTCACTCTTATACCACTACCAAAGTATCTAATAAGAAAGCTTTGAAACCAATTCGGGACACTGCTCAATAAGACTAAAACTCAGTAGGCAGGGTCAGTGACCTGAGTTCGATTCCCGGAACCCACATAAAGAATCAGCTTCACAAAGCCGTCCTTTGACTGCCACATGCACTGTGGCAGGTGCATCTACACATACAATAACAAAAAAACTTTAAAAGAAAATCTTGATACCTAGCACTCCTACAGCTTGAGAATCCAAAGTCTAATTTCTGTCTCTGTCATTTTGACTTTGGAGGATATTTTGCAAATGGAGTCATGTAGAATGTAATTTGGCTTTATTTCACTCAGCCTTGAAATCCTTTTAGGGTGTTACATGGCTCGATAGTATTCCTTTTCTTTGCTGTGTGGCATTCCAAGGTATGGGTACTCCACAATTCATTTAGCCTTTTACCCATTGGAGGGCATGTTGCTTGTTTCAAAGTGTTCCTTTAAGGTGGTAGTGATCAAATCTTCTGTTTGAGTCAGTACAGAATATATATAGACCTTCAACTTCATGTGTGGTTCAGCTGTTGGGACAGACAATCTCCTCATTCCTTACAGACAAGTTTCCAGTTTGAATGTCATTCGTAATGGAGTGGTCCATCCATAGCCACGTTTACGTTTTTAATTGGGTCGTATCTATTATTTTAAAGCCTTGAACTCATTAAAATGAACTGATTTAAACCAAAGAGCATTGGTCTTCTGGGGGTTTCCAGGTCCTTCTTAGATTAACGGGAACATCGTAAACCTGTAGTTGAATTTTTGTTTTAATCTTTGGAGAAACAGAAACTTGGGTTCAGATCTCAAGGTTACCCCCTGCAGTTTTTGGACTGAGTGAAATCACTTAACTTTCTCTCTGTTAAAATAGCACCAGCCAGATCTTACAAAGTTACAAGAGCCTGTGAAATAGCCTAGACATGGAGAGAACCAAATAGATATGACTATAACATGAATAAGAGCATTGCCTTCAGTAATGTTGGGGGGAAATGACAGTTTTAGAATCAATTTTTTTTTAACAAGTCTGTTGCGAGGGTGCGGGACGGAGTAATGTTGCTGAAAACATTGCTTTTAAGACCCAGTGTTGCGGACAGGACGGGGAGTATTTCTGTGGGCTGAGGCGGATGACCTGTGTGGAGAACACAATACCAATTAGCAGACCTGTGAAGAAACCGTTTAAATCAACAATGTCTGTGCAACCTGCCATCTGCTTCCTGTTAAGCAGACTCCCCTTTTTCACATGGCTCCCCTGTTGATTTCCATGGCCCTGCTCTCTGCTTCTCCTGGCTTATCACCATCATTTTCTTGGCCTGGAGTGGAAGTTTCCCTAAGGATCCTCTCTCCACTGCTTTTTCCACGACTTCTTCCCTGGCAGTGTCCCACTCTACTTCATTCCTCAGAACCTACATCTGCGTCCCTCACCCTGACCTCCCTCCCTCATTTCCATCCTGCTGGCTGCACAGCTCGGTTGAACTCAGTATTTCCAAGACTGGGGTCATTTTTCTTCCTAAGATGGATTCTTTTTTCAACTCCCTCTTTCTATCCACAGACCCGCTGTCTTCTCAGGCTTCCTGCCTGTAAACTTAGCCTTGCTCCCAGGCTTCCATCTTTGTCACTTCCCCACCCTAACCTCCCAAACTGGTCCTGGTGGAGATTCTTCAATACCTTTGCCCCTTCCTCTCCTGTTTACATCTCCATCCCAGTTTTTAAATTGCCATACCCCTGTCCGTCTTCAGGTGTGTCGTGTGAGTCCTCCACAGCTCTCTGCAGGTTCCCTGAGGACTGCAGTGTCCCAAGATGTCCCTCTTTGTCTGAGCAGTAAAAGTCATATTTCCATTCCAGTATAAACCCCTATGCTTAGACCTGGAACTTAAAAAAAAAAAAATGAAAAAAAGTTTGTCCTCAAAGTCAAACAGAAAGAAGTACTAAAAAGTGAACTTTTCAGTCCACAATATTTTGCTTTATAAAGTAACTAAGCATCTTAGAAATGTATCTTTCTATTTTCTGTCATTTTTCTTTATCAGACCTGCTTATGAGTTCCTTTCAGTATGTTTAATTATTTCTTGCAAGGTTTGTTAGTCCTGTGGTAGAAACACGATTTTTGTTTGACATATTTTCAAGCAGTATTGAATTTTTTGCTTGTTTCTAAGTGAGTGTGTGAACATGCATACATGCTTGCAAGTGCATGTGGTAGAGAGGCCAAAGATTGATGTCACGTGTCTTTCTTTTTTCTTTTCCTTTCCTGTTCTTTTTCTTTTTTTAAAAAAAAAATATTATTTTTATTGGTTTTTCGAGACAAGGTTTCTCTTTGTAGCTTTGGTGCCTGTCCTGGAACTAGCTCTTGTAGACCAGGCTGACCTCGAACTCACAGAGATCTGCCTCCCAAGTGCTGGGATCAAAGGTGTGTGTCACCACCGCCAGCTTCATGTGTCTTTCTTAATTGTTCTCCATTTTATTTCTGAGATAGGGTCTCTCCCATGAACCTGAGTCTCACTGATTGTCTAGACTGGCTAGTCAGTGAGACCCCAGGATCCGCCCATCTAACTCCCCTCCAGTACTGGGGATGAGCTGCAGATGGAGGCCACCATGCTAGCATTCATTTAGGTCCTGGGGATCCAGGATCAGGCACTCATGCACAGCAAGGACATTACCCACTGAGCCACCCCTCCAGACCCTTAGAGAGCACTTTCCTTTGTCTAGGGAAGGCAGGGACCAGTTTTCCTTAAGACATCAATGACAGTCTATCTTCAGCCTAAGCAGAATCCCAAAGATGTCACTATCAGATTATTTGTGACTTTATGCTAATACATGACCTCTGTTCTTATGTCTGATACATAGCTCTCAGCACCCCATTCCTCTACCAAAGCAAATGATTGCACTCTGTTTGCCTCAAGTTTGTGCAGTTGACTTGTTTGGTGAGGTAAGAAGTTTATAGTAGGAAAGAAACACTTGTGGGATGGCGCAGGCCCTTCCGCAGAGGAGGAAGCAGGTGGTGGGAAGGACAACTGTGGAGCCGACAGGCGACCGAGGTCACCTGCAGCAACTCGTCTTTCCTCAGCCAGGCAAGTCCACGAAACTTAACACAATGTGCTCTCGAATCTCATGCAGATGGCAATCAGAAGCTGTTTCCCTGTGAAGTCTGTGGGAGATGCTTTGCAGCAGATGTCCTGGTAAACATAACGACGTTTTCTAGATGTGTTTCATTGGAGTCAAATGAACTGTCAAGTCAGCGAGGAGGCAATGGTGCCAAGATTAAAGACAGATGTGGAGAGGGCCTGGAGGAGAAGTACGTAACCTATGGCTGCCAGGCCTGGAGGACACTGAGGCAGGCTGATAATGCCACGTTCAGAAGTGACCCTATTAACCGCGGTCTCCCTGAACGCATGCCAATTGGAATGGTCTTGGCACAGACCTCTCTCTCTTGAGAGATTTTGGCTCTTCCGCCTTTTCTTTAAGCATCAAAAATTCAAATTTCAAGGCCAAAACACCAGGGAAATTAGCTGGTCGAGAGGAATGAGCATTGAATTTCAGGCATCTGGAAACTTGGCTCGTAGCTGCGAATTTGCCAGATTTGTCACTAATTCTGACAAGTCCTGCACCCTTCCTGTTTTCTGCCTTGCCACGTACACGGAACGCTCTGATTTCAAGGGGGTTTATACTGTTTGGAAAACTAATGCATGGATACAAGCCTGCTCCAAGATCTAATTTTCCAGATATAAACTAACTACATGTGTCAAGTTCCCAGGCTTTAAAGCTGAAAAAAGTTTGAATTATTTCAAACTTGAGGGGTGCGGGATGCAGGGGTGGGGAGTTCGGTTTCAAACAAATGGTAAACTGTAGTAATGTAAAGAGATAGTCAAGAGAGATAAATTCTTAAAAAGGAATTCTTAAGATGATAGTGTAATCATTTGGATATTTTTTAGACGATGAGATACTATATTGAACTTGCTTGATTTAGGGTTTGGACAAAAAGGAACCTCCAAAAATGAGGTTGTAGGTTTTGTTTTTCTGGGAAATTTTAGGAGCAACATGTCTGTCCTGCATAAATTGTGCCTGAGCTCCTGAAGCTAGCAGTGGAATAATACAGGCCTGTTGCGGTCCAGTGTCTACCAGTAACTTTCAGCTCACTGTTACCTTTGCCAGGTACACCGGGGAGGGGTTGAGACCTCAGGGGCTTCCTCTGGCTGGGGATCACTCAGTGTCAAGTATGCTTTACCTGCTCCTGAGTCTCACCCCTAAGCCTGTCTCTAGGCTGTCTCGACCACGTGATCCGATAACCTCTCCTGTAGTTTAACATGGAGGACTTGGAGGAGCACAGATCTTTGTAGAACTTGCATTTTGTGGATCTAGATGAAGTGACTTTGTAGGAGAGGGCAGAGACGCTCACGCTGCGCCCTCCAGGCACTGTGACCCACCACATTAGTTGATTGCCCATTGCTGTGGCGGGAACCTCTAATCAAGAGTACTTAAAGGAAGAAAGGGTTTTCTTTGACTTATAACTCCAGACAGATAAAGCCCATCATGGCCACAAAAGCTTGGCCTGGTGGGGAATGCGTGGCAACAGGAGCCAGCTGATCACATTTTACCTAAACAGAGGACAGACTAAATGAACAGGAAATAGGCTGGCCACTGGTAATAGACTTTGCCCAGCAAGGCTCCACCCCTAAAGGTTCTTCTATAACATCCTCACACAGTGCCCCCAAATGGGACGTTTCTTATTCAAATCTCCATACTATAACTTTATGCAGGGATGCCAAGCAGTTCTGTGTTTTCCAGCTTTCCCTTTAGAATTCTGAGCATTTGAATTCTAAGCATTTTATGGCTGGAATAAAAAGCATGTAGCCTGATTTTTTTATTTTTTATTTTTTTTAGAATTCGAGATATAAAATCAAATTTAAAGTAACACTCTTTAGCTACTGTGTTAACTTTCTTTCACTATAACAAGATACCTGAGACAGTCACATTATAAACAGAAAAGATGACTTTTGTCCCCATTTTAGACATGCCATCTCATGAGAAGTTAGCCCCAATTTTCTGGTCCTACAGTTGTAGCAGTAAAAGCATAAAAGAGGCAAGACTTTTCCAAAACTCATAAGCAGGAAGCGAAAGAGAATTAGGAGAGGGGGCCCTAGTACCACAGTTCCTTGGAAGGACACACCCCCTGATGTTCAAAACTCCTCCCAGGACAAACTCATCTGGTTTTGCTGTCCTGCATTGAGACAGGGTCTCTCTGTATACCCCAGGGTGCCTTGAACTCACAGCCCTATTCCCTGGGCTTCCCTGGTACTAAAATAGAGGCCTGCACCTCCATTTCCAACTTAGACTTCACCTCTTAAAGGTCCACAAACATAGGCAATAAAGCGCCTTTTGCCTTTTCCTAAATACGGTATTGAGCTATGTCTGACATGACTGGGGAGAGCGGATGGATTTCCCGTAAGGTGGTCTAGAGTTAGAGAAGGAACTAAATTCTACAGACGCTAACCCATCACCATCCAGGAGGTTAAATATGTAGTCATGAAAACTTTGTGATCATACATTTTCCAAAGCGAATCCCTACCCTTCTCTGTCTAGGAAAGACACGGACCAATATGTAAAAAACTATTCAACAAAAAACGCAAACCCTTCAATTCCTTGAAGCAAAGATTACAGGGAACTGACATTCCCACTGTGATTAAGCCTCCTCAGTCCAAGGTATGCCAACGATTTCTTTACTTCTCAATATAGAAAGTACATTTAAGCTGGTTTCTTGGCTCTCTTATTTCATTTTTTGCTTGATAAGGCAGTGTAATGGAATTTAAATATAATCCACCTTTACTGTTTTCTGTATAATCTTACTTAGATTTCCAAATACATTTTAGATACTTTCCAGATGTAGTTGAAAGAATCCTGTTTACATTTTCATCGGAGTGCCTGTAAGTCTTGAAAGTGGCCTGGGAAGAAAGTTACCTTTTCCCCCCTCTGGGATAAGGTTTCACTGAACAGCTAAGGTTGACCGTGAACTGACTACGTAGCCCAATTAGCTTTAGGTTCATGATCCTGTAGCCTCAACTTCCCTAGTGCTGAGATGGCGGGTGTGTACCATACCAGTAAGAAAGTGACAATTAGGACCAGCAAGTACCCGCCACCAAGCCTGGACACTGGAGCTCAGTCCCCAGGGAACCACATGGTAGACGAACCGACTCCCACGTGCTGTAGTGCATATACATCCACACGCAAAAAATAGATTGATGAAAATGTGATCTCCTAACAAAAACGTAAGAAAGTCACCTTCAATCTTGCATCTGTCTTTCTCTGAAGTTTTCTGGTTTCATTGTTTCTCTGATTTTTATTATTATTACTATTATCATTATTATTATTATTTTGATCACTGCTACGACGGTGAATGATACTGCTGTCGCTTGCGGACTTTTTAAAATAGCTCTTTTGGGGAAAACTTTTTCTCTACCAAAAAAATTCTTTTCGTATTACACGACCCCATTTGCTATAAATCAAAACCTAGTTATTAAAAAAAAAATCTGTCGGTTGCTATGTAGCCAAGGGTAGTGGATGCTGGTTTGATTTTGTTTCTTACAGGTTCAACCCGTGAGGAAATCTAACTGGAGACAACAGCATGAGGACTTCATCAATGCGATTCGGTCAGCAAAAGAGTGCGCTCTAGCCATTAAGGAGGGCAGGCCCCTGCCCCCTCCACCCCCTCCAACCATCAACCCAGGTGCGTGGATGTTTGGCTTGCTTTTGGGGCCACGGTTGACTTTTAGCCACATTACAAAGCCAGTAATAATGATATCGAGGTAATTTTATCCATTATACAAGTAAATATATGCAGCACACATTATTACCCTTTGCTTCCAGTTCACAGAGCTTGCATGTTCCCTCCGGTCTGCCCCACCATGAGACATCGTCACACCCAGTAGGGTCAGTACCCACCTAAAGGGCACATCATTTGCGCCGTGACTGAGGAGCAGGAAGCTGTGCACAGTTCTACACCAGTTCTGCAGTGTCAGCAACACACAGCTCCGTGTTTGCGAGTGATCGTCTGACAAAGCTAGCTGTCTGAAGTCACATGATTTAAGTGGCTTCGCAGCTTTCTTTACTCTGAATGTTGTATTTTGAAAAGTTTCAAAACTATCAGAGGAAAGAATAGGACAATAATCACATGTCTTCTGAAGTCCAAGGATTGGGAACTGTTCTGCCTCTCTGTCTTTCTCTATGTCTCTGTTTCTGTCTCCTCTCTGTCTCTCTGTCTCTCTCTTTCTCTGTGTCTCTCTGTCTTTGTTTCTCTCTCTCTCTCTCTCTCTCTCTCTCTCTCTTTGTGTGTGTGTGTGTGTGTGTGTGTGTGTGTGTATGTGTTATTGGATCAGGTAACATACACACACACACACACACATACACACACACACACACACACACACACACGAAGATCAGAGAACAACTTTTAGGAGTTCTTTCTTCCTTTCTACCGTGTGGGTCCTGGAGATCAACCCGGGTTACCAGACTTGGTGGCAGGCAGGCCCCTTTACCCACGGAACGATCTCAATGGTCCTGGAAGAAGTCTCTAAAAGTGAAGCTGTAGACAGCTTATCCTTGACATTATCAGCAAATCATCTCTTAAGCAAAACACAGGTTCACGCTGTCCAAGTTATTTGAAGAATGTTTCTGAGGTTCTCGCCACACACCCACCCAGCCAGAATCCAGTCAAGGTTCCAGCACTGCTTTCTGCTGTCTTTTCAGACAGTTTTCAATGTCCTGCGACACCTTTGCCCGATGATTTCGGCTTTCAGAATGCTGTCAGTGTGGATTTGTTTGTCTGTTAAGTCATATTGATGTTTAACTTGTCTCTCTGTTTCATCTTTCAACAAGCTGGAGGTTAGCACTAGAGACTCAGTTAAGTTCACTCTAATCTCTGATTTGCAAGTAGCTTTTCTCCTGTTTTGTATTGTTTTTGGACTGTAATGTGTTTAGTTCACGCACACAATTTTAAATTATGAACTACTTTTTCTTTTGTGGTCTGTTTTTCATGTTATAGTCAAAAATATCACGTTAACACTTATACCCTGTTTGGGGTTAAGGGTTTCGTGTAGCTCAGACTGGTTGCAAATTTGCTGTGTGGTCAAAGATGACTCTGAGTCTCTGGTCTTCCTTCCTCCACCTCCATCCCACGTTCTGGGATGACGGGCGAGCACCACACAACATAGCTCCCTGTGTTTCTTATTCTAAAGTTCTAGGATTTACTGGTAGGTGGTTGGTCTGTTTTGAGTTAGCATTTGTGTGTAATGCAAGGTAAGGCTCCTTTCTTACTCCTCTGTACATCAACAATCAGTTTCCTTATCTCTCTCGGTTGAAAAAACCATCCATAAGGGTGATAGCAAGTGAATGTGGGAAACATACCTAACATACATCAGGGCTTTCCACCTGTGGGCTGCAACCTCTTTGGCAAATCTCTATTTTCAAAAATATTTACATTGTGATCCATAGCAGAAACAAATGTAGGCACGAAAATGAATGTATGGTTGGGGATCACCACACCATGAGACACTGTATTAAAAGGTCACAGCACTAGGGAGGTTGAGAACCACACACATACATGATTCAGTGGGTCAAAAATGTTATCACGAAACCCAACACTTTTTAAAAGGCTATTCTTGCCCTCTTGAACCATTATTGTTTATTTTATTAAAAGTCACTTAGGGCCCAGCAAAGTAACTCAGTGTGTAAAGGTGCTTGTCATTAATCTTGATAATCTTTGTTCCATTCCTTGGACTCGACATGGTGAAAGGTGACTTTCACACATTCCCTATATGTTAGAGGAGGGCCGCTTGTTGGTTCCGGCTGTCTGGCTAGCTTAGACCCGAAATAATCACACAGAAAGTGTATTAATTAAATCACTGCGTGGTCCATTAGTTCTAGCTTCTTATTGGCTAACTCTTATATTAATTTAACCCATTTCTAATTCATCTGTATTTCGCCATGTGGCTGTGACTTACCAGGTAAAGTTCCCAGGGTCTGTTTCGGGCGGCTCCACGGCTTCTCTGACTCGACCTCCTTTCTCCCCCCATTCCGTTTAGTTTTCCCCGCCTAGCTCTGTTCCCCTATAGCTCTGCTATAGGCCCAAAGTAGTTCCTTTCTTTATCAATGGGAATCACGGCATACAGAGGGAAATCCCACATCACTTATTCATACACACACAAATAAGTAAATCTACTCTCAAAAAAATTTTAAAGTCAAGTAACTGTCCGTTTGAAAGTTCCGTCTCTCTATTCCATGCTGCTCATCTGTGTCTGTCCTTGTGCCAGTACAGCTCTAGTTTGGTTACCATAGTAGTAAAATAATTTTTTAAATCAAAAATTGTGAATGTCACAGACACAAAAAGCTTTTTTGGCTATTTGGGCTCTTTTGTCATTCCATATAAATTTTAGGATTCTCCCCCCTATTTCTACAAAAAACATCACCTTAGGGGCTGGAGAGATGGCTCATCTGATAAGAGTGATTATTGTTCTTCCAGAGGCCCCGGGTTCAATATCCAGCAGCTACTTGCTCACAACCTTCTGTATCTCCAATTCCGGGAAGCTACAGAACCTCTTCAGGCACCTGCCCTCACGTGGTGCACACACAGACAAGCAGGCTGTCTTAGGACGCTCCTGGTGTTGTGATAAGACAACAAGTCCAAAGCGGTTTAAAGAAGAAAGAGTTTATTGGTGCTTACGATTTCAGAGGGCTAGAGTCCGTGGCCATCAAGACAGGGAGCAAGGCAGCAGGGAGGCAGCCATGGCGCTGGAACCGTACCTGGGAGCTTGTATCTTGACCCACAAGTACGAGGCAGAGAGAGCTAATTGGGAATGGCACAGGCTCTTGAAACCCCAAAACCCACACCCAGTGACTCACCTCCTTCTAACAAGGCCACACCTCCTCTGACAAGGTCACACCTACTAACCCTTCCCAAACAGTCTCTCCAGAAGAAAACCAAACATTCAAATATCTGAACATATGGGGGCCATATTTATTCAAACCAACACACGAATACACACACACATACATGAAAAGCAAGCAAAAACGTTTTGAATGCCACTTTGAAATTCTAAAAGGGATTTTACTGAACCCATAGATGACTTTGGGTAATATTGTCATTTTAACAATATTGTTTTCCACTGCGCGGGCACAAAAAAATGGCTTTGTATTTATTTTTTTTTCTATTTCTTTCACCAATGTTTTCTGCGCAAAAGTCTTTTGCTTTCTCATTTAAATTTATTCATAAGTTTTTATCCTTTTTGATTTTATAGAAAATGGAATTCTTAGCTTTATTTATTATTCATTGTTTGCATAGACAAACTGCAGCTTAGTTTTGGTAGGTATATCAACTACGTATCCTGTAACTGTTGAATTTATTCATTAGCTCTAGCATTGCTTCTGTGGAATCATTAGCATTCTGCATCCATGCCGTCTGCAAGCAGATAACGTTACTCTCCCTTATACTTGTATCTTTTTTATTTCCCTTTCATGCATACACTGTGCCTAGCACCTCCAAGACTAGTTAGACACCGGGGCAAAAGCAGCTGTTCTCACCTTGTCTCTATTTGGTGCAGCACCGCCAGTAGGGTGGTGGTCACCCTGTAAAGCCAAAAATAATAGCATTCTTGGTAGGATTCTGATGTGTGAAGTGAAATGAATGAAACAAAGGCACAAAGTTGAATGAGGAGAATAAAAATATTTTTCAGGTTTTCATACAAGAATAGATGTGATAGCATGTGAAGATATATGGAGGTTGCTACAGGAACCATTAAAAGTATTGTGGTATACCTAGTAAGAGTTACATCAGGTATGACATATGGGGGTGGTGGCAGAGAGTATATGAGATAAACACACATGGCAAGATGCAGGTTGGGCAAATGCTCATACATGGCTTACTACTCCAGGTAAAGATGACACTGCCAAGCTGGGTAATAAAGCAAGAGCCAACAGCATGCTCTTCAGAAGAAACACACATTAAGGACAAAATCTAAAAGCCTGGGGAAAGATTCAAACAATAATCATAGAACCAGAGTATCTGCCAGCATCAGGCAAAACAAACTTTAGGGCAAGTGTGAATAGAAACAATGACTCAAAAGTTAGTCATTAAGAAGACCTATATGCGTACTCTTGGTGCTTCTAAGAATGTAAGACAAAACTTGACTAAACCGGAAAGAGATAAATTCACAGTTCAGTTACATCCAGACACTTTGCCATTCATATCATAATAACTAATAGACTGAACCACAGGAAAATGAGTAGAGCTACAGAGTATGTGAGCAACGGTATCAACCAGTCTGACCTCACTGCCATCAATGGTCATCAGAGGACAGACAGGCAGAGCGGAATCCATACTTCCTTCAGGTACACAGAAACATTCATTATATACAGGCCTGAAGGCAGCTTCAGGACTCTTAATTGAAGTCACACAGAATGTATTTTCTGACCACAGTCAAATTAAATTAGAAATTAATGAAAAGAATGTATCTGGAAATTTTCCAAGTATTTAGAAATAGTGAGTCATTTCTAAACAGCCCTTGAATCTAAGAACAAATCTCATGTTGAATTAGAAAATACTTTAAGTGAATGATAATGAAAACTTCGAAGTTATAGGGTCTTGGCCTATATACTGATAAAGTTTTGCTTTAAAAGTTAAAATACGAACAAACTAACCCAAATTTAAAAAGGATAATAAATGCAATTTATTAT